GCTGTGTATTGGCAACACTGGTGCCATTGTGTTAATTACTAATAATTACTTATTTTTTTTAATTGAAACTATTTTTTTTGGTAGTAGAATATTTATCAGAAATGCCTTTTGATAAGTAAGCGGTTATGGCTATCACAACATAACTTGAACTATTATCTTATTTCTAAACCCAGGCTTCATTGAAGTACAGTTTTTATTTCCTGTTAATTCAAGCACTCATTGGACAATCTTATTAATTCAATGTGTACTTTGTAAGAGCTGAAATAAAGGATCTCTCATTATTATTTCAAAATATAGTTGTGCTTTGCAGAGAACAATCTTGATACTTTTGATCACTAAAGCATGTCATCTCATAAATTTACAACCAGATCCTGCAGACATCCATGAAAGCAGCAATAGTGTTTCAGGCAGTAAGTCTGTTCTTCTGGCACTGCTAAAAAGTTGGATCAATTTGAATCCAAACTCTCACCAGAGCTCTGTTCAAGACAATTCATTCAAAGGGAACTTATCAAAACCAAAATGCTTTACACTGGGGAGAAATAGAATTTGAATGCAGAGCAGATGGACTTAAAAGCGACCTTCCCCCCTCGCTTTCTCCCACCTCCCTCAGAAACAATTCCCTACACTGTTCTTTCCCACCCACATATTGCTTTTTATTCGATTAAACTCTGGTGATTGAAATTTCTGCAATGTAAGGCACATTTTGCTTTCACAGAGTAAGTTGTTTGGTACCTTATGAAACCATGTTCATGTTTTCTATTTCTGTGTTTGCAGACTGATCTCTCCTTACCTTCCTGTGAGATGTGTGAAGGGCTGGCTAGGCTGGAAGGCGGGAGGAGGAGCTGAGGCATGTCAGGGGCTTCAGTTCAAAGCTGGCTGTGTTGGTGGCAATGTACTAATATTAATGTTAGCTTGGTACAGTGAGATGACAACAGGGGGGTACAAAGTCTGAAATAAGATGTTGCATTACATGAGCCAGAAACATGCATCCTATAATTATGCCTGTTGAGCTCTGTTCCTTCTTCCCTTGGGCAGTGGAAAGGGAAGTCATGTAAAGCGTATCAACAGTTAGCTTTGCTGGGATTGTCCCAAATTAGAGAGGGAGACAAAGTTATTGATGAAAGAGAAGAATCACCTCTTTTTTTTTTTTTTTTTTTCTTCTGTACTTGAATGTTAGAACTTCTTTGTGATGACCACACTTGTTTTTATCAGTTTGATTTAGGGCATGCACAAGTGTTTACTGCTTTCAGGCCTTTTAATTTATTTTAAAAATTGGAGATGGAGGAAGGAAACAAGAATAAAACTTGCAAAACAGAAAATCTAACCTGTTTAACATGATATAGGTGCCCAGGTGCGAGAGTTGTGAGCTTGAATAAAATGTCTTTTGGAGCAAATGAAGGTTGCTTTGTTACTTGGAGACAGGCACCTGAAAGCTTGGTGATGCCAAATGAAAGGTGATTACAGCTGCTTCCTAGTGCTCCAGTGTTAGTCTCTGAACTTCTCTGAAGAGCTGGAACCCGTAGGTCTGATAAGACACAATGAAATTCTGTTGTGGAGATGTGTAGAGAAACTCATACTCATTTTTCTTTTTTGCATAAGCTGGAGTGTTACTGATTCATTCCTTGGGCTGATTTTTCCTCACAAATATGAGAGTTCTTAACTGAACTGAAATGGAATGTAGGTAGTATAAACATTGAAACTCTCCAAAGATTTTTAACAGGAAAGGTAACTTCATGATACATAATTCCAGAGGTTGTATTAAATTGTTTGTCATCATAAATTTTGAAATCAAGTTCAGATGTTTTCCTTTAATTTAAGCTCTGAATATTTTAACCACTATCAGACCCACCTCACTGAAATTCTGTACTAAGCAGATGAGACCAAATGATCATAAAGTTCCCCTCTACATCTTAAAAATCTGCAATTCCTTTTACAATACCAGATTAATTGACAATTAATTTTAAAATAGTGTCGACCTTTTTGTCCCCAGGGTCTACTTACATGGGTTCATAATGATAGACCTTGGAATTTTTTTTTTTTCATATTTCTTGTACAAGTTAGTGGCTGCTATTATATCATCATTGGTAATATACTATCTGAACATAGTCCTTTTTTTTTAGTGAGTCTATCAGAGTTTTAAGCATTCGGAGACCACACCAAGCTTGGCAGTGAAGATGCTGAGGATGAACAAGAACAGAGATGTGGTCAAATGAACTGCAGCCCTGAAGCTGCTCTCTGCTGCCTGGGGTGGAAACCAGCGCTTCACCACAAACAGTGCTGTTTTTCTGGAGTTAGTTAAAGATACTTTCTCCATTTCAGATCTGACTGGTTGTTAGCAAATGGCCACGCACAACTCCCTGGAGTGTAGTGGGGAGAATTCCTGATCCACTGGAGCATCCTCTTGATGCTCCCCTTCTCCAGGGCAGTCCCAAGCCATCTTTGGCCATATAAAGCTTGGAGAGGTGCTGCAGTGTGACCTACTTGAGTGCTCATAATTCCTTCAGGTCTAATATTTGTTTCTGGACTACAGTGTGTTAAGCAGTGTCAAGCTGGTTCCCACACAGAGCATTTATGACATTTTTCGCAGTGGCTACATGTTTTCACATGGACATTGAGTCAAGTCTTTAATTACGGGACTTTTCTTATGATTTAACTATTCATAATTAACTTCTCACATTTTTAGCTGTGAATAATTGCTAGTGCCAGGGAGTCATGGTATATTATAATTTTGACTAATTGAGCACAGCCAGTATTTGTTAATTGTTCCTGTTATGCACATGCTAAACCCAGAAGTGTTGAAGTTGCTCTGGGACATTAATTTTAAACACAGTTAAAACATCCTAACCTGCTGGCAGTTATTCTCTGTGCATTGTTTTATATTGATGGTTTCAGATCTGAGCACAGTAATTAAAAGGAACCAGTTATTGTTGATCCCACAGATAAACAAATGCTGATTGCGTGCTGTGAACTGGTTAATCAAGTTTATTTAACTTGTTGTTGGTGATTCATCCCAGTGACTGTATTGGGGAGCTCTTTATTTGAGCCCAGCAATGTAATGGTTCTGGCTGCCTCCAGCTACTAAAGGAGTTTCACTAATTCTTTTAAATAGACTTTAGTAACATCTTAAGGAATAGCATTGTTACATACACAAATTAAATCCAGTTTGAAACTGGGGACTTTTCTGTTAGTGAGAACATGCTTTAAGAGCTTGCTGTCCTGACTGTTCCGTGTCCTGAGCAGCAGTAGAGGTGATTATGTTTCCTGGGTGGCGATTTTGTTTTATATGTGAGCTCTTTTGTTTTGTTTGATTTTGATGATACCAAAGCGTGCCATGTTTAGTCTGTCCCTTTGCCAATGCTCTTTAATCCTGTTTGAGAAACTACTTCTGCTCCTGCAGAAGTTCTCGTAAGATGACTACCAATTTTCATGTCACATGTCCACAACCAAAAAAGCAATCTCTCTTAGATCATCTCTGCATTTTGGGGGTCCATATTGCTCAGGCCCCTTAGCAGCACTATCAATATCATTTACTGTTTGTCTGAGCTGTGGGAGCATCTTGCTGTGGCCATGAAAGGAATAGTTTCAGACCAGTTTGACCCTGTCCCAAGGGGCACCTAGCTGCTTACTAGGACATGTCAATGGGGGAGTCAAGAGACAACTCTGTCATGTGCTCTTGGCTGTGGAAACTAAAGGTGCTGGCTAAAAGCAGATAGATTATTATTGTTGATGTTGTTACTGTTTTAGTCTTAGACTAATTTTCTAGGTATTTTTCCCCACCATGGATGAAGGTAAAGCCTTCTAAGGGCTCAGAGTACATTGATTCTGATCTTATTAATGTTCTTGGTACAAATACTACTGACCTCCAGAGTTAACCCTGGTTTTGTACAAGGCTAAAAAAGCTCCTTCCTTTCAGACATTTTAGGTAAGTATGTTTTGTGCTTTCCTTTGTGTTATTTCAGGATAAGGTCTTTTTAAATGCTCTTTGTTTCGGAAGTCTTGATTTCTGAGCCCTGTATACAGGTAATGTCTTGGTACTGCTTTTATGTTGCTACTCCAGGCAACTGTACTGGCTTTTTTTTTTCCATCAGGGTTTTCTGAGTTATTTTACATTTCTTGAACTTGGTGGTGTTCAGTGTTCATTATTCCTGTCAGACCCCCCTTATCCTTCCAGCTGGCTGTGAATGTAAATCGCAAGAGCCTCATCATGCTTGTCCAGACTCTGGAAAACCTCAGTGTTAAAGGCGCATTCCTTCATGTCACAAAAGGCAACATCAGATAAGTGGGATGGCTGGCCATCCCTTCTCCTCCTAAAATAGTTCACAATCAGAATGAGCAGGAGTAACCCAAGGCCAGTAAAAACATTACTCTAAATAAAATGTGTATCACACTGTTTTCTTTATAATTGCAAGACAACTATAGAAGTATTCTGTTGGGAGCACTGCACTGCAGACTTTAAATAGCAGTGCTAATGTTTAAGTTGTATTTTCGTTTTTTCTATGTTTTCTGTGCCAGATTTCTGGGATTTTTGCCAGGTTCCAAGACCATATAGAATTAATTGTTAAAAAGGAAAATAAATATTTCTCAAGTCCTAGAGAATATGTGTGTCTGATCTAATGAACAATAGTTTTGCTCATTTATCAATTGTTCATTGTAATTTACTCAAATACTTTTTCTGTCTGGAAGGGAGAGGATAGGGGCATGACAAGAGCAATCCTCCTTGAGCTTCTATACCAAATTTATATATACACAAAACATTTCTGCATTCAATAATCTAAGTAGTCAGGATGACATTTCTGCCAGATAGAGATGTAGAAGGAAACGTAGAAGAATTTTCCTAGCCTGTCTGGACTGAGTGGCTGAGAGGTCATTGCAAGCAATTTGGCTCATGTTATATTGAAGTCAGAGCTGAAGAAAGCTTGAAAGACTGTATTATGCTAGGTCTGTTTGCAAAGACATCCAAGATACTGTTACCTGGTGTTGGAGTATGAGGTTGATTTAAATGAGAAATTGCATATTTTTATTAATATCTCAGTTATGCTTTGTTCTCAGCCTAATTCAGAAGTTGTCCATGGATAAAGTTTCTGGTCTTGATGCTGTAACTCAACAGTCAGTTTCTTCCACCATCTCTGACTCAGTATTATGATTTTGATAGACTAAATCAGTCTAATATTCTCCACTAAATCAACACATGTGGCATCTGCTGGAATCCGTGGGATTTGATCTCATCCTTCTCAGCCACACTATTTTTTGCCTTGCAGTCTGGTAGATCTGTGGATTCTCATGCAGGCTGCTGGCCTCTATCTGCCAAAAGAGAATTAGTTATATGTTTCTATATGTTTTGCTACTGAGGCTTGGAAATCCCTCTTAACCAAAGTCCCTGCTTACATATTGCTACCATTCATTTTTATTGGCTTTGCTAAAGTTGAATTCCTGTATCTTGATTTTTCCCCAATTCATTCTCTGAGTGGCCTCAAAGAATCCAGCAGAAAACAAAACCTCAAAGAGCTTATATAATGAATTACTTTTAAACTAGACGCTAAGAAAGACAGAGGAGCATTTATCAGGAATGTTTGTGGGCTTGGTGGTTACGAGCTTAAAAAAGAAAGAAAAAAAAAAAAATACCGTGTGGAAAGGCTTTTGTCCCATGACAGAGATTTAAAAGGCTGCGGGCTCAGATTCCAGCGGAGGCTCAGGCCTGTCTGTAATCGCGTTTGAAATGTTGCCTCTCACAGGGCGGCGGGCCGGGTAGGGGCGGCTGCGGGGCCGCCGAGCCCGTCACCTGTTGGGGCCCCGGGCCGGGCGCGCCCCCGGCGCTGCCACCGCCGGGCCGGGCCCCGCGGGCGGCGTGAGGGGCGCCTCGGGGCGGGGGGGGGCTCCGCTCCGGCGGGGGCAGCGCTTCCTTCCTCCTCCCCGAGCACCGGCGCTGACAGTCCGGGCGCTGCGGCTCCGAGTTGGAGAGGGGAGCGTGAGCGGTAGGCAGGGACAATGGAGGAAAATGAAAGCCAGAAACTTGAGCTGTGCCTGGCTTGCCCGACAGACAGCGGGCAGACGAGGGGTAAGTAAGCGGCGATGTAAGGCAAAGATGGAGTTACGTTTAAGCATGCCCCTCGTTGCTGCTTTTTATAACTGGAGGCAGAATGCATGGAAAAAAAGAAATAGCATGTCTTTCTTGTGCTAATGGCTCCGCGGATTTCCCTAATACTTCGACTCTGTGAGTTTAACTTTCTCTTTGCAGAGGTTTCTGTCTGCCTTCTAAAGCCGGGAGCACACCGTGTGGCTGTCACGGATGCGGGACCCTGCCGGTGCGGAGGGTGCTGCTCCCGCGAGGCGGGGGAAGGCATCTCCTCTTCCCTTTAAATGGTCTGCCAGCCTCACCTATGGTAGAGAAATAGCTCTTCCTTCATAAAAGTGGGTTTGAGCTCATCTTTACCTCGGGTTGTCTGTTAAAAGGGGGAGATCCACGACAGATTGTGACAGGGTTAGTTTACTTTGAGTGAAACCACTGGGGTTTATTTTGGAGCAAAGCCAAGAATGCCTAAGCGGAGTTTTCACGGTGGGTCCACTGTGGTGTATTTGCATATTCACTGCTGCACTATTTCATATAAAGTGAATGAAAACTATTTCCTGTCTTGTTCTACGTGGGCTATTCCACGTGAAACATAACATTCAGGTAGCATGACAAACACATAATCTAATCCATATCTATTATACTATTTGTGGGGCACCTGTAAACGTTCCCATTTCATGCGTGTTGTGTTCCTCATAGGCACTTTAGGAAAAGTTGTGTTATTGCACTTCTGTGAAACAAGTGGTGCGTGTGGTTTTAAAAAAGGTTTAAAAAAATCATGCAAGTTTATGAACATGCAATACCAACAAATTGGCAATTTGGGAGGAAAAAAATACTCTTTGTTGTTGTTGTATTGAGGGTTCATTAATTGATTGATGCTCTTTTGAAACATTTTTTAAAGTTGAAATACTGAACACTACAAGTCACCTGTGTCTGTGTATGCTTATGTTTAGTGGGACAGAAATCGTCACTTAAAGAATGTGTCTAAAGCCTTCAGTAACAGATTTCTTATGTGGGGGTTGTATGAAACTCCCTGAGATACATGTGGAGCTGGGAAAACAGAGGTCTGACCAGTCTGATCCTATGATTCCCAAAAATGTTGAGTGCTGAAAGTTCATAAGCAAATGTAGTAGTTTTGGCCCCTATCCCAAATTTCTGTTTGAAAGTTCCTTGGAAAGAGAGCTAATTAGAATGACAGTGGAGTAAGTTAGAACTATTCCAAATAATCTCACATTCACTGGTAACATAAATGTAACAAAGCTGGGTTTGACCACACTGTTAAGTCTGTATTATTTTTTAAATTTTAGTATTGAATGGAGTTTGCTTCAAGGCTCAGTTTTACAGTATAGTATGGATCAGGTCCACACTTGTTGCTTTCTGACATTATTCTCAAAATGTTCTTCTCTCATGTCACCTGGGTTGCAAAACAAGACTATTAAAATCTTCACAGCATTTAAAGTAATGAAATGAAGTGACTTTCCTGGCCTTTGTAGACTTCATGGAGGGTGTGACTTTGAAGCAGGACATGCTGAAAGACTTTTTTCTTTCTGTCTATTTTTTTTTTTTTTTTTTTCCTAGCTCACAGCCATTAATCCTTCATGATAATCTTCCTGCTAGTCCTAGGCATACTGCTTCTATGCTGCAGACCTGGGCCTTTTCTGTATTTACATCCACTTTAGTAACGGGTGATGTTGGTGATGTTAAGAATTCTTGAAATTTGTTTTCAGATCAGCGAAGCAACTCAAGTGTAAGGGTTACTCAAGCCTTTGGATAACCAAAGTCCTCTCTGTCAATCAGCAAGTCTTGCTTTTAGTTGCCCTCTAGACTTGCTGCTTTATTGAACAGAAAGACCTTCAGCTTTTAGCTTCTGAATATGAGGGAGGGAGAGAGGGAGACAAGCTTATCTCACACCTTTGTGTTTTCCATTGGCTTCTCTTTGCTCCTTTTCCAAGGAGGGTACTTGCATAATTTATCCTTTTCCTACTCTTAGTTCTCGTCTGGGTATCATCACATGATCATTCGCACATTTCAAAGTTATCTGTGGAGATTGATTTTCTAGCCTATTATCTTCACTTGGAAGATAGGAAAGGTTTGCCCACAATGTTATTGAGCAACTCTAGAATCCAGAAAACTGCTCAGTTTTTCCTGCTTGTAGCACTGTGGTCCACCCAGTATCTGCAGAGCTGATGTGCCTCATGATATACAAGGGGATTTCACCAACCCAGTGTTCAACCTTGCCATTGAAGTCACTTATCCCTATGTAAGAAGTGGCCAAAACCATTTTCTTTCCAGCAATTTTAGTAGGAGAAAGACCCCTATTCAAACACAACATATTTTGGTTTGCAGAGGAAGTCATGTGCTGCTGTGATGCCACTGGACTGAGATCCTTCTGGATGCCCGAATCAGCTCCCTGGGAAGACGAGCAATTAGTTTGCATAGTTTACATTCCTTTCTTGCACTTGTATTTATACAGTGTTTTTCAAATATATATATTTTTAAAAAAAGAGAATTTGTTGATCTTTCTAGTATAGTATAAGAAAAATATGTTATTTTTGACTCCTTCTCAAGGTTTCACCCAATAACAAACAGTGGTAAAGCACTTTACTTGATATGTCCTTTATACTCCACATACTTAGCTCTTTCCTAAGCAGAGTAAGGAACAACTTTTCATGAGAGGTTTAGGACCTAAAATACACATTCATGAGTTCTGAGTTGTGCTTGTCAGCATAGGTTTACCTGCCTTCTTGAGGAAGGGCCTTCCACCAATTCAGTGATTGAAATTGCTGCTGTGAACATACTTCGGGGATTTATACCAAATTGGTGCACTCAGTCACCCACACTCACACTGACTCCCTCCAGCTCCAAGAAAATACCTTATTTATGTCTGCTGCCTTTGTTCCAGCAGCCTCCATGATATAACCTCCAGGCTCTTGGCGCAACGGATTAAAGATGGTAAATTCCATCCAGCCCCAGCCCACCTCTTTTTCCTCCCATGTAAAATCCCTTGAAATGACTGTGCAGCTTTCAGAAACTATTTTGACTGAGTGTATCTGGAGTAGCCATGCTGACTTTTTGCAAGCTAAACTCTCCTGTTTGCCATTTTCCTCAAACAAGCTGAGTGTACCTGATGGTTGGTGTTCTGAATTTTCAATAATCAGAGCAACTGGATGTTTTTTAATTGAGTTGTGCTTGAAAAAGTTGAGTGCACATGTATGTGTGTGTATATGTGCATGTGAGGCTGCTGCTCTGATATTTTAACCAGGATTGTGCTACTCAGAAGGTCTTAGAAGGTGCTGCAGAGATCACAGATGACATTTTGAATCTGTGGAGAGTAAGACTTCCCTGTGAACCAAACTTGTTCCCAAAGTTGTGTCCCAATCTGCGCTCCTCTGGTTCCCTGTGTCTGGATCTGCTTTCAGGATAAGGTTCCATGAATGCAAACAGAAGGGTTTTGTTGAAATTTTAGAGTCCTTGAACAATACAAGGAGCTTACAGAATCATCTTTAATTATCTTCATTTTTAATCATCTTAAAAGATCTTCCAGGGCCAAGTTCTGTGGTGAAACCCAAGGGAATTGGTTCCCTATATGAATTGGTGGGTCATGACACCGTCAGCGGCTCCACTGGTAGAGGATTTGCTTTATTACCAGGGCTTGATGTTCCATAGGATGTGGCAGGCAATTGACAACACACACCAGAAGGCTGAGAAATCCTCAGCATAAAATCCTGAGGCAAGTGGTAGGCACAGTGTCAAAATGACTGACTGAACCATAAAAAGAAGCGAGTAGGTGCCTGTTTCCAAACAGCAGTGCCATATAATGGCAGCACATGGGGGAAACAGCCGCTGGGGGAATAAAGGGCTCTGAGGTGAAAAGTGTCAGACAGAGGGAAATAAAGATTTATTCAAAAGAGCTAGAGGAAGGAGCTTCCTGCTCTTGGGGAGGTGCTGGGAAGGGTTAACATAGGAACGTCTGAGACTGCCTGCTAAAGATGGGGAAGGGCACATTCAGACTTTTCAATGCTTCAGGTTTTTGTTGGTTTTTTTTCTTTGCTGACAAAGGAATGAGGGTTTTTTTCAAAGGTATTAGGTAACAAGGCTCCAGACTACAGTTTTTCGAGCACTTGAGGGTTTGTGTTACAGAGTTACCTGAAGATAAGCCAGCACTTACATACCCTCTATTTCTGCCTGTCTCTTTAAAAATGTTTTCATGGTCTTTGGTCTTAAAGTAGATTTAAAGTAGTAAAATTTATCTGATGTTTTTTTTCCTTTTTTATATCATGCAAAACTTGCTCTTATTCTTAAGAAATCATTTATTGAAAAAATGATGTAGAATTTTCCAACCTGCTATCCTGAGACATATAAAATCCAAGGGAGATCTGTGAAATTTAAAACCAGATCACAGTCAGAAAAAGAGCCTCCAAAACCCTCTTATTATTTCACAGGTGTTTCAGAACGTGTTGAAAACACACTGAAAAAAGATTAAGGATTACAAATCTGCTTTGTCAAAGGAATTTTATCAGTTGGTATTCTTAAGGATACTAGTTATGGGGCCATTAAGTGTACTGGAGGCTATTGAAGAAACCTGTTCCTTCTTGGGGAAAGCATCCTGTAGATCTTAAAGGTCAGGGAATAAGGGCCCTGTCAGATCTTTTTTCAAGTCACATAGGTAAAGA